CCCCAAAACCCCAAAACCCCAAAACCCCAAAACCCCTCAGGAGTCTACTATAATTGAATTATAAGGAAAGATGTTGTCATCTGTCAGGAGTTTAGGAGGAGTGAGGAATTGGAGGAGAGGATTTTGTACGAAAGAGAGGAGAGAAGGTAGGGGGTTAGGGAGATTTTGGTATAGTGGTGGTGGGAGCAAAGACGGTGTTTAGAGTGAAGCAGGGGGATTTGTGAAGGTTGGAAGTAGATGCGATTGTTAATGCGGCGAATAGTAAGCTTCAGCATGGAGGTGGGCTTGCGAAGGCTATTTCAGATAGAGGTAAGGGGGATGAAAGGGCAAGAAGGAGTTCTTTTGAAGATTTTAAAGGGCTTGGGAATGGTTTAGATGAGGAGGGTTTAGAGGTATTTTTGTATAAAAGGGGAGAAAACTGAGATTATAGGTGGACCTCTTGTGCAGATTGAGTCAGATGAATATTTGAGAGCTAATGGGCAAGTTGATATATTTTCATTAATTGGATTTTAATAAGTTTTACTTGGATTAAAATTTTAGAAGATTAGTCTTCATGAATATAATGTTTTTATAGAAATTTCATTAGTACAGGTAAATATTTTGGTTAAAATTAATAGGAATGGTCGGAGTCACAGGTCCTGGAAATCTCCCATGCAAGCACATAATTCACGCTGTTGGTCCTATCTGGAAAGGAGGGAGCAACAATGAGCCTGAATTATTAAAATCAGCTATTCTACAATCAATATTCAAAGCTGAAGAACTAAACTGTAAATCTCTAGCTTTACCAGCGATATCTTCAGGAATCTATGGGTATCCTGTATATGAATGTGCCAAGATATTTATGACCACTATCAGTTCACATTTCACACCAACTGTTTCAACCCAAATTGAAGACTTAAGCATTACAATCATCGATGACCCTACCCTCAACATATTCTTAAAAGCTTTTGATGACATAATGACTTAGAGGTAGTTAAAACCTCAAAAAATCAAGAAAATTTTCAATCTATCAAAAAAGATTGGGGTTTTGGGGTTTTGGGGTTTTGGGGTTTTGGGGTTTTGGGG